TAGAAGCAATGACTAGTATCTTGGTAATAGTGAACATAAATCAGATGTCTGATTTGCAACAAGTCACTTATATTACTTTATCTTCAAAAAGAAGAATATGTGGGGTGAGCCTCAATAAGGATTTGAAGGTACACTTTCTCAAAGACAAACATACTATTTCTGTTTAAGGAATCCCAAATCAAAACTATGCTAATGACTTACTAAATGCATCTTTCAAAGTAGCGGGAGAATGAAAATAAGTGGGGCCCAATACACGTTTTGTACAGTTTTCACAGCATATGTTTCTATATAAAATTAGTCTCAATAGGATCCAAAATTGTCTCCTGTAGTCTCAGAACACTCAGTATTTTCATAATTGCTTCTGTATTTTTTTACCAAGTAATTGAATACATAGTATTTCACTGAGTTACACAAAACAATTCAATCAATAGATTGTTGCTTTTACAGGGAGCTTATTTTGCCTGGAAAGCAACAGCAATGGGAAAAAATTACGTCAATGGGAAAACATTTCTTGAGAAAAGGTAATGTATTTGATAACTCTGAAAGGATACTGTGTTCTGTTTGGGTTTCCTATAAAATAGCCAGATTTTAAAAAATGCCCTCTTTTTAAATTGTAAGAAGAAAGTTTTAAAATACCGAAGGTGTGATGCTTCCAGTGTACTTGTTTCCGTGTGCATGGGAACTTTGTTTTATTTAAACTCCAACTTTAGTGTTTATGTAGTGTTACTTGAGTACAGTAAACATTATATTTAGCAGATTTGCAGCAATGTTAGCAGTGTCAGTAGGAAAAGTAGGGATTTTTTAATAAACAAATAATAACTTTGACTATTAATGCCGCTCTGCTTACAAGTAATATTTGTATGAGAAACAAAAAGATTTTAATAGTTTTGAGGATTTTAGAGACTCTGGGATTATTAAAGTTTGTAGAGGTTTTTGTCCTACACTGAAATAAATTAATGTCTCTTTACAGATACAATGAAGATTTGGAGCTTGAAGATGCCATTCATACAGCTATCTTAACACTAAAGGTTAGCAAAGTATTTAAGAAAGAAGTTTCTTATGTCTTCACTGATGTGATTTGCTGAACTATAATTTTTTTTTAATAGGAGAGCTTTGAAGGGCAAATGACAGAAGACAACATTGAAGTTGGCATCTGTAATGAAGCTGGTTTTAGGAGGCTCACTCCAACTGAGGTTAAGGACTACTTGGCTGCAATAGCCTAGTAGAAACTGAGGTAGACTGTGTGGTCCACACAAAGGTCTTTTTAATTTTGGCTACTTAAATGTTTTTCTTTGCAGTTTTTGCATACTTATTTCTATATGGTTTGTCTGAGAGATTTTTTAAACATCATGGGTGCAAATACAACGGTCCTTGATATTGTAATACATGGAATCTTGTTAAAGATAATTCTTTCCCTTGATACACAAAATACTGTACAAAATGTAAAGTTATAGTGACAGCTTGAAAAAGGCTAAAGAATAAAATCAAAGGCCATTGTTTTGGGGGAAGGTGTCTGTGTGTCTTTTCAATTCTAGCTTTTTTATCTACATAAAGCTTAGTTTTCAGTATCCTTATTGTTGAGGAAACAGTTTTTCATATACATCCAAGATGAACTTATGTCCAGCCTTCTTCCAGAGATTTAAATGTTGAGTGACTGGATAATTTTTTACTTTGGAATATTGTTTAAATGTTAATTAATCTCCAGAAATAGTTTTATGTGGTGCAAAAGATCATGTACTTTGACAAGGGGGCAGGAAATTTCAGGTGTGTACTGTGATCTGATTGAGCCTCTCTGCTTTTGACCCTCCTGGTCTTTGTGTCACAATAACTTGTTTTACTTGAGTTATTTTCTTGGCCCTAGAAATTACACTTTTTCAATCTTGAAATATTGTTAGGAAAAGTAGAAGTAGTAACTCTTACTGAAAACTAAATGCATTTGTCACCATCAATAAAAATCAGTGGGATTTACAAAACAGAATGAGAGTATGTAATGTAATTAAAGTATTTTCCAACTTGCAAGATAATTCTAAAGATGTAATGAAAGGAGCATTTAATTTGTGCACCATAACTGTTACAGATGTCATTGTGTGAATGTATCAATACATTTGTTACATGTGTAAAGTCATTCAAGTCATAAAGACCTACATTTACCACAACAGAAATGAGATAAATATACCTTTTTTTTTCTTTTTTTTCAGTAGAAATTATCTGGTCTGCCACCATTTAAGTTACTGTTTTCAGATTTTATATTTTTTAAGCAATCTGATTGTTAAAATGTTGATAATGAACTGGGAGTGGTAGCTGGGTCGGTCTGCTTGTGCATTCGGCTAAGGATGTAGGGAAACAGGCGGGCAGGTCCCACGTCAGCCAGCCATAACTAATGAAGAAAATACAGAATACAAGTAGAAGGTAGTGTATAAGCTGATTGACCTGTGGTTTCTAATGTCTGTCTTCTGATGGTTTATGTTGTCATCAGGTGAATAAGAATTTCTGAAGCATGCCATAAATGAAGTTTTATTTCCTAATGTCAGAAATAAAAGCTCTGTCCAGAAGGTTCATTAAGAGTTCTGCCAGATCACTTTTTGAGTATTTTACTCTGAAAACCAGGCCATACTCTGATTATTATTCTAGAGAAAAATAAAACAACTCAGATCTGAAACTGAAAGCTTTATATTGCTGCATCTTTGATTTAGAATATTTATGCACACATAGTTTTTTAATGCTGTATAAATATTCAAGAATTTTCTACATGCAAAAATGGGTGTAGGTACTTCAGAAATTGACTGCAGTGGTTTAGTTTCCTCTGCTAATAGAAACAGTTGATGAGTAAAGAACACTGTATGAATGATAGTTGAAACTAGAGCAAGCTTCAAACTATGGTAAACTAAACTGCTCCTTGTTTTGTGTTAAAGGGTATGAGTAGGTCTATGTGGTCTACTGCCAGTGGTTTTCACTTTGATGAGCCAAGCTGGTGACTGTTTTTACACTGTTAAGAACTAAGTCCCAATACTCCTTGGTAATACTTGCACCCTACAGTGAATCAAAGTTCATGGCACTTGGTGTAATTTGGAAACAAAATGCATAATATTTTGAATTCAGGATTTATTTAGAGTATTGGATAATTTTCTCAGTGGTAGTCAGATAGACCTTGATATTATGCTTCTCTGATGAGGAAGGTGGTGTTGTTTTAAGTGCAGGGATCTTTTTTTAACCTCATGTCTAGAATAGTAGCTAAATGTTACTTACTATTTAAAGGGAAATCTTTAAATTGCAGAGAACTAAGTAACATTTTTCCATTTAAATTTTAAGGAAATAGTATTTTTAACTTGAAAATATATTTCTTAAATAAAATCACTTCAGGAGTGAGCAGTACTGGTGCATTGGACTACCAAATTATATGGTGATTGTGCTAATTTTTAAGAAGTGCATCCTTTAGTTGCATGAGATTAGCTTTTTTTAATATATTTTGTAGAAACTGCATAAAGGGGTCAAGGTGCAATGACAAACACTGTTCCTTTGTGAGAAATGACAAATTCAGGCTTGATTACTTCAGCTTACTGTGAATTATAACTGTGTAATTTAACTTGTTCCTCCTAATGCAGTTATCTGAAAGAAGCAAAAGGCACTCATCACTTGAAGCATGTAATATTGATTTGCTTATCCTGGAAGAGGATCTTCTCCAAGGTCCTCAGGACAGTGTGACACATATGATAATTGGGCTTTATTTAACATACGGGATTGGGATCTGAGAACAGTAACTTAATTTAATGAAGTTATTACTTTAAGTCACAGAATCACAGAATGGGTCAGGTTGACATCTGGTCCAACCTCCCTTCTCAACCAGGATCATCTCAGAGCAGAGGGCACAGGATTGTGTTTAGATGTTTCTTGAATAGCTCCAGTGGGGGAAACTCCACAACCTCTCTAGGCAGCCTGTTCTAGTGTGCTGTCACCCACAGTAAAGGACATACAGGTGCAGTAAGCCCCTTACAACTTGCTTTGGCTTACTCTTGCTTTCCAGATCTTGTGAAATCATTCAGACAAGTAGACATCATCCCTCCCTGCAAGAACTGGCAATCAGAAGCCAAGTCTCTCCCACACTGTAAGGGAGTATTGCTGCATGGAGACGAGTGGGACCACAGCTATGTCTGCTGCATGGAGGCAGGCAGCAATATGGGGTAAATGTTGGGGGCACTTGCTCACATATTCACAGAATGATTTAGTACAGACCTTTTTTCTTGTCTAAATGTAATGGACCCAGCCTGCAGAGATCCAATATGATCCAACATGCATGGAGGTTGCTGTTACTTCTCCAATGAAAGTAAAAGTCCTAATTTGTCTCTGGCCTGTGTCTGTTCCCATTACTCTGTGATACTGCAGCCTCACAATGAATATTGTGTGCTGTTTTGAGCACCACACAAGATACAAAGCTTGAGAGCATCCAAAGTGGGGCAAAGATATGGTGAAGGGTCTTGACGGGAAGCTGTATAAGGAGCAGCTACGGTCACTCGGTCTGTTCATCCTGCAGGAGACCGAGCACAAGCCTCGTGGCACTTACAACTTCCTGGAGGGGAAGAGGAGGGGCAGACACTGATCTCTGTGGTGATCAGTGGATAGGACCGAGGGAGTGGTCTAGAGCTGTGTCAGGGGAGTTTTAGGTTGGGTAAGAAAAAAGTTCTTCACACAGAGGGTGGTTGGGCACTGGAACAGGCTCCCCAGCCCCAAGCCTGACACAGTTCAAGTGGTTTTTAGACAACACTCAGGCCCACGGTGTGACTCTTGGGGCTGTCCTGGGCTGGGCCAGGAGTTGGACACAACTCCTGGTCCTTGTGAGTTCCTTCCAACTCAGAATATTCTGAGATTGCGTCTGACCTGATGTAATGCATTTCGCCCTTGAAGGTTTTCGCGATAATGCGCGGGCACGCCGGGGAACGGAGCCAGGCCGGGCGGGCTGCGGCCGGCGGAGCGAGGCGGGTGGTGCTGCTGTCCCCGCCCGGCGGCCCCGGGGGAGGTGCCGGGCTGGGCCGAGCCGCGGACACGCCACGCCAGCCCGGGGCGAGGGCTGTGGCCGGGGAGCTGTGAGTACGGGCTGCGGGGGCTGGCGAAAGGCGGCGGCCCCAGGGGAGGAAGCGGAGCCGGGAGCCCCGGAGAGGCGAGGCGGGCCCGAGCACATCGCGTCCCGGCAGTGACTGGGGGACGGGGAGAACGGGAGGGACGAGGGGCGGCTTTTCGCACCCGCCCGCTCCGCCGGAACCGGCGTGTGGGCGGAGGGTGAGGCCGGGGGCGGCCGGGCGGCCGAGCCGGGCTGGGGCGAGCGCTGAGGGCGCCGTGCCCTCACCCGAGATGGCTGCGCGGCCTCCCCGGCGGGGCGAGCACGTGAGGGCGGAGCGGCGGGGGGGGAGGGC